TCTCCCGCTTTAACAACACCGAGTAGTGCATGTTGTTTCTAAAGCTTTGCTTTCTCGTTTTCAGCTCAACCTACACCGAAACCCTGATTGTCTAAGGATGACAACCAACAATTACAGATCATTGTTAGCTGCCAATCAACTGAAGAATATCCGTTTCAATGAAAATAATATATATATATATAGAATATTTTAATATGCAATTTCTAATCATTCAAGATTTTTTCAAGTTGTGAAATAATTAATAAATAAAGTCAAGGCATCATACAATAAAGACCTCAATCGTTGTATTAGAATATACTTCCTGTCCACTATGGTACCAATACCACTATGTTGAACGTAACACAGTGGCGGCGGCGCCGGGATGAGGCAGAGCGGGCGGTCGCCCCCGGAAAAAAATGTTGGGGAAGGTGGTTGTCGCCCCTCCAAAAATCAAGCTGAAACTCTTAGTGTTATATAATATGTATGTCAACAAAATTAGCCCCTCCAAATGCAGGAGTAGCGTTTTACAGGGTCTACATTTCAATGTTTTCCCGGGGGAGCATCATGGGATGGTGAGCAGATCTCGCCCCATGCAAGATTTTGTGCCGCCGCCTCTGTATATCGTATCTCGTAATCATCATCTGAGTAGAAGAACACGGGGCACAGTGTAGGACATTTCTATTTATTATTTTACAATTATGATATCGTTTGTGGAATGTTTATCGAAATCTATAGTTGTTACTTTTCAAACAAAACACGTTTATTTTTAATAATTAACCATTTCAATTTTGTTTTAAATTCAAAATCTATTGAATATTTATACTTGATGCACACCAACATACCAAACAAGCATATACCTCCATTTAAGCTAAGTGGCTAGGTAACTGACGCGGATACCCAAACAATAAAAGGCACTAATTATATATTCAGTCATATATATAGCTTGCAGATTTAATTATAGACGTAATTTACATAACATCCCAACGCTATTAATGATTGGATTGATGTTCTAATATATTCAGCGAGTGGAACCACAGTATTGTAGTGCATATATAATGGACACACTCAGGCATCCCATAATACTGCTCTTCCAGCAGGCGAGAAGGTGACACGCCGTTTCAATCTCTGTCAAATAATGAATAAGAATGAATAAGTTATTGCGATGAAATTAATGACGATAAAAGGTATTTCATAACGCTGGCGTATTGTATTATTGGATGTTTTACACACAGCCTGGCTAACCTTGAGAGTTTGAGTAATTTTGACGTCATAGAAGCGATCTGTAGCTATCGAAGGGTGCGCCTTCTAGAAGTGGTATAATCGCATGCATATTCCACTCTGCAAAATTGCAAGCAGTCGTCGCTGAATTTCAACAGCTTAAACGTATTTAAACTTTATATGAGAATGCAGCAAGGTATGAATGTAGGCGGTACGGTACGGTCATTGTATTGACCGACGCGTAGTCATCATAATTATGAGATCAAAATCTCGCGTTGACGTTCAGTTACATGATCCAATTTCAACCACACGCTAAATTGTAGAAATTTATAGTATGAACAACAATCTTTCGCCAAATTACAGTTTCCGGCAATCTAGGTTCATGGGTTTACCATACCTGTGTTCTATATCCATGAATCTTGGTTTACGGGATTTAGCAGGCTTGTGTTCTATTTCCATCCTACTAGGATCGTTACACCAATCGGTATCGCAGCATATTGTACACGTCATCCTCTTAGCCATACTGATAACATCTTCACTACAACCACGTTTGTTTTTCTTTTGTTTACGCTCACATTTCTGTAATCAGAAAACGCATTTCACGATCACAAACTTCACGTGGAGTTTCTTGTCGAAAATATAAAATCACCAGATGATCGTATTAGTGGGTTTGATAATGGCGACAGTAGCCAGAGAATACCTATAAAAAGTGACAATGAATGACGTTTACTGTATCTGTCGCAAATAAATCAAGCACACAACTCACATCTTTTGGGAAACACCCCTTAGCTGAATACACAATCTTTCCACGCCGCTCCTTTATGGTTGATTTGCATACTTCCTGTGTCAAATTAACATATTTATTAGGATCATAATTTTAATGAAAATATTGTATACATATGTATAGTTACTTTTTGTTACTGATGACGTCACATAGGAGGAAATGTGAAAAAAAAACAATATATGTTTGATGGTTGTATGTTACGTTCTGTTGCGAAGCCATGAAACAATACAAAGATTACAAGCTATGAAATCATCCTTACATCTCCTTCACATGTTATTGTGTATCTTCCCGCCGCCAGACATTCTCCATTGTCAATGTCTATCCAACGATTTGCACACCTGTGACACGTCGGGCCTATGGACAAGAAAATGACAAGTGCGGGCGTTAATGATCAATTCATCAATTAATGATCACGATTTTGAATCATTAGATACACATTTACTAAATAAATTCAACAGCATTTTGAATAATAACTCGATTTTTTGGAAACATTTAATAATAAACAAACAAACTTAAAGGCGGAACTGACTGTTGTATTCAACCTAGACACACGCCCTGTTTCTGTATGTTCCTCCATTGAAGTATTTATATTTTGACAACGTGCAGTAGCAACGTTAACGCATGCACCAGCGGTAACACGTGGGCTACCATCAGATGTACGCATGCGTGGTAATAGATAAATATTAAGTACACGATTCTTCAAAAAATGAAATTATTGTTAATCTCCAGCATTGATATCTGACACTTATCTGGTTAATTGGAGCGTCTTCTGGTAACTTGTCAATTGCCTTTTCATTGATTTGTTGATTTCCCGCAATTTTATCACAGAAATCAAATAAAAACAAATCCAACAAGGTGGAGGTTTCACATGTCGTAACGTATTTATCTATGTCAATCACGTACCACAGTTCTCCTCGTCCTCCCCGTCTGCGCATGTCACATGCCCATCGCATCGGAGATATCGTGGTATGCACGTACCGTCGTTACATACAAATACATGTTTACCTTTACAGCTGCCTACAAATAAGTAAATTTGTCAAGCTGTTATCAAGTGAAATAAAAATGTCCCCTGAAATAAGTTACGTTTACTTGTCTTGCAATATGTTTGTATGTTCCATCAAACAACATGTTACTATTTGTAATAATGGTAATTCTACGAATAATTTCACAAAAAAATGATGACGTAATTAATATTATATTATATTATTTTACGATTTCCCGATCTCGCGAGACTGCAAATTCTACTTTACCTTCACCTTCAGCATGGTGGTTAACAATTAGAAGTATTGCAATGGTAACGCAATATTTCCACATTTCTTTATATGCCACCTATCTGAATGGACAAATATGTTAGAAATGAGTAGTAACGGTTGCGTACGTACATATTGACGAGACGGTCCACATGGTTACTGTAATATCAGCGCTCAGAATTGAAAACTTAAGTTTTTTGTCATCACATGATATTCTAATGTTTGCATTACCCCATTCTGATTACCAATGAGAATTAGTTCTGTCTTGTCTAAATTTATGGTCAAATCAGTCAGTTCACTAAAATTCGATTACATAAGAGCTGTCTTTAGTGTTGTGTCATCTGATTATACATATCAATTATGCTCGTACGCGGAAGGTAATGTGATACCTTTAATCTTGTCGTTGTTTCTTACGTTAATGGCGAGTGCTTTTATCGAAATAACAAAGAGCGCAGTAGGTAAGGGACTCTAATAACAGTGCTCTCTGATTTCCAGTTAACTTCACATCAATTAATAATGTCAGTTATCAAACGAATAGTATCTGTGATACGCCTTTCCTTAATGAAGGCAGACTGATCTTCGTTAATTAAAAAAAAAAAAAACAGCTCGTCTGCCCAATCAAATTTCAACACATTGACTTGAGTAGGTTTCCGGTAAAAGAACAATATCGGCCTTTTGTTTACGTAAACAATTGAAAATTTCCTATCTTTAATGATTTTCTCCGATGCTCCTAACATTTAGAAACACACTTTTGACCTTTGATATAACACGTAAAATTTACACAATACAAAAAAGCGCGAAAACTTCATACATACAACGAACAAACACTTGTTCAAGTTATTCGCACGACCGATTCGATAATGCAGAAGGGTTGGGCCCCAGAAAAGCATGCAGAAAACGGAAAACTATATTGATTGATACACATACATAATAAAGGGTATAGTAATGGTAATAGCTCAGTTCCATTTCCGGTTACTCATTTCGGTGAATGTTGTCTGTGTATATAAAGCTTTCCATCACGAAATGTCCTTCCCTGTAAGCCTTGTTCATTATTATTTTACTTACTGCACGTTTGCCGAAAGTGTGTTTACAATCCACACTACGTTTGTACTAATTCTCGTTTATAATTTATTCCTTAGATGTGAAATGTCATAATGAGATAACAGTCATCTATAATACAGTAAATTCTATCTAAAACATAATCATCATTGACGAACTAATACAGATACAAAAAGGCGCAATTCATAAAAAAAAGATGTATAGGATGTGTAATTTGCGTTCTCTGTCTTAAACTGTTTTGTCAAGGGTGACGTAACATTCTGTTACTACATTTACGTCACATAATTTAAATTATGTGTGTTAGGCTATCATCAGAATGGCAAAATATTCAAACGAAAACAACGGCAGTTTATCCTTATAGAAATATGCTTGGAAATCAGGCATAATTCATACGTCCGATGAATCGTAAACATAACAACACTCAACAAACTAAAACGCATGTTCTAAAAACCCACCACACAATTATATTGATAACTCGTTGTAATGTGCTGTAACACGTTTCACATGCAATGTTGTCGTTGTGTCTGATATCATAGCCACACATGGTCAATCAAATGTAAAACAAATGTTCCTTGTTCGTTGTTTGAAGAAGGATGTTACTGTCAACAACCACACGTCATACAAATGTCAGTAACATACCATGCATACAAGCTGTGTTTGATTTATCGTATGATAATATGCTGTTACATTGCCCGTAATTTAACACTTTAAACGACTTATATTGTTATTAAACGTGTTTCAGGGGGTGGGGCATTTCCAGCCGTCCTTCACATTTTCATTGGAAAGCAATGAGCTAACGAATAGTGTCTAGGATGTATTCATTGATGCGTTCAGCCATGTATCAGAGCCGATCACTGCAACACGGTTGTGACCTTGTAGCCGTAATTTAACGACTGGTATTCATATATACATTTATCTGAAACAAGTTGATGTAGCTCATTATGTTACAAAACATATATATTTTCTG